AGTAGCAGACGTTTTCTAAGTGTTCTTAAAAAGTGCGGTTACACCGTTTAGAAAGCTTCTCAACCTTGTAAAGAGTTGGGTATTGAACTCAGGGTCCATAAAAACCCTATTACACAAATTTCAACAATTTTTTGAAAATTTTTGAAACGGCCGCTTTTTTCACAGTGACACCATATGTTTGAAGTTTCCACCGTACTCCTACAGTAAGAATGAGCGATTCGGCGATTCGCTCTACACTGTAAATCTAAGTTGAACCTCGCTCTACATGGTACCTAAAGCTTCTCGAAACACTTCACTACTTATTTACAATCAAGCAATGTGCACATTTTTTGGGACACCCTGTATTTCTGACCAGCACCTTGTAATTTTTTACATTTCCTTTTCCCTTTCTTACATCGTCCTGCCTGTTTTTTGAATTACCATAAAAGATGTGCATGCGAGAACATTTGTTTCGGAAAGAGTTAGACAATTTTTGAGCATTTACGAATTTTTTTCAAAGAAGGAATTCGTAAATTCTGTAGATGAATTTAAAACCATCTTGTCTTCCGCTTTCAAGGAATTTATAGTTTGCCTGGAGTCTGTTGAAAAAGTGCCTGGTAAAGAGTGTGAGTAGTGATTTCTGAATATTCACGAGTTTTTAGGGTAGAAAAATCCGTAACTTCTGAAGATGAACATCTTGTATGCCGGAATAGTCACCATTGAAACCGCCTCGTTTTCTGCTTTCAGAAAATGTACACTTTGTCTGGGGTACAATAAAAAAAGTGCCGGGGTGAAGGGTGTGCTTGGTGATTTTTGAAAGTATTCGAGTTTTTAACATAAAAAAATTCATAACTTTTGTAGATGAGCATCTTGTACGCCGAGATGGTCACCATCGGAAACGTCTTGTTCTCCGCTTTCAGAAAATGTACACTTTGCCTGGGGTCCATTAAAAAGGTGCCGGGTGAAGGGTGGGTGAGACTTTTATAATGGGGGTGCTCAAGTAGACGTCTTTTTACAATGGTAAAAAAGCCTGTACTTGAGCACTCCCATTATAAAAGTCTCACCCACCCTTCACCCGGCACTTTTTCTAATGGACCCCAGGCAAAGTAAATATTTTCTGAAAGCGGAGGACAAGATGGTTCCAATGGTGACTATCTCGGCGTACAAGATGTTCATCTACAAAAGTTATGAATTTTTTTATGTTAGAAACTCGAATATCTTCAAAAATCACCAAGCACACCCTTCACCCAGGCACTTTTTTGAATGGATCTCAGACATGCTTTATATTTTTTGAAAGCGGAGGACAAGGCGGTTCCAATGATGATTATTTCCTTGCACGAGCTATTCATCTGCAGTAGTCACGGTTTTTTTTTTATCCTAAAAACTCGAAAATTCCCAGAAATCACTAGGCACATCCTTCATCAGGATTTTTTGAATGGATCTCAAACACGCTGTATATTTTCTGAAAGCGGAAAACGAGGCGGTTTTAATGGTGACCTTATCGCTGTGAAAGATGTTCATCTACAAAAGTTATAATTTTTTTATGTCAAAAACTCGAAAATCTTCAGAAATCACTACTCACACCCGTCACCAAGCACTTTTTTCAACAGACTCCTCCTTTCCTATACATGAACAATTCACGTACAAATATCTCCTTTGCTTAACCTTACCTCACTGTTGATTTTTTTTCTCGGCTTTTGGTGAAGGGGGTCACCTTGGTCCCGGCTCAGGGGTGAAGAGGGGGTGAGAAAATTCTCACACTATCGCACCTGTGCTGGCGTTTATTTTTTTGGCTCTTTATCCTTTATTTCAATAATCAAATTCTTTATTTCAGGCTTCTACTGCTGTTGTGTTGCTGTCTATGTGTTACGCTGTATTTTATTTACTTCACTGGTCTTTGCTACGTCTTCACGAGTGTTGACCGCTGCGAGAGCTGCTCATTTTTTGTGTTGCTTTCTATGGGTTTTTCGTAACTAAGTTCCTCGGATATCTCTTGCATTCCTATGAATCTTGCTGACCTTTAGAACAGAATCATCTTTATTGTGGGTTACGTCAGTTAACCTAACACCGGAAGCTCGCTGACATTCTAAATCGGGAGTTATTATATTATAGTTTCAGGGGTGGCAAGGCTCTGTCATATTAGTTGTACTCTAACTCGGACTTAGCTGGTTTTTTTTTGTTGGAATTGCTTGATTGAGTTTATTAATTTTTTTTGGTGCACCTGGAGTGTCAATTAAAATAAAATAAAATAAAATAAAATAAATATCCTTGTCTTTTCTTAAACCGCTGAACGGACAAAGACAGCGAGGAAGTGTCCGAAGCTTGAAGGACAATACAGTCTTATTATCATACATTTGAAATTTCATCATCGCTTAAGTATTCAATGTAAAACATAAATTCACAATTACTAACATGATCCAATACCGCCGAGTACTTTGTCTGTTTTCTGCTTATCAAGACTGTTTCTTTTTCAAACTGTTTCACAACAAAAGCTGTTTTCCCACCCGAATTCCTCCTATATTCCTCAAAAACTCTTCAAAAATCAATTACATCACCAAACTTCTGTGAGTTTCGGCTTACACTATGTCTACAAGTCTCCGGAAATACGCTCATCACCACATGCAACCACATGTCACTGCGTTTCCCAAGCAGTTCCTTCCCAGCGTCACATCTTCCATTTCGTATGTCTCTCATGTTGAGGACAAGCTTACTCAGTACCCCTAGAATGAGGTGAAGGTTGTTGGTTGATTATCCAGTCCACCTGAACCAAATCCCCTTTTTGCTAAATCTGAAGATAATGGTACCGAAGTCGAGTTCTTTATGGTCTCGCCGTATCACGTGTACTTCTTACGCAAGTAACTCAGACGTTCGACAGCCAAACAAGCTCGAGCATCGAGGACGAGCTTGTTTGAAGGAATGGATATGTCGCGATCCAGCTATTGCCCAACAGCTGCTCACGACGGAGGTCGGCCTAAGATAGCGGTCCTCTGGCGTGACCTCCTACCACCGGCAGGGGCCGGTTCCCTCTTCAATCTTTTCCGTCCCTCTTTTGTATATGACTTATATAATAAATGTTAGAGTACGACTCATGTAAACTCGCTACACAACGGGGAAAGGCGTCATGAACCTTTATCCAGAGAAATAGCCTATAACGGTTCTGACGAAACGCGACAATTGTTTTTTCTTTTTTATTTTTTCAAGTTTCTCAAATTTTAATTTTCCAAGTCATGTAAATTACCATTCAGTTGAAACCTTCTATCTGAAAAAGAATCCTAAGCGGAATGGGGGGGGGGGGGGCATTTTGATTATAATGTCTGAATAATAGAGATTTTAACAACTCCTTTGAACGTCAATTCTGTAACCAATACTAATGTTCTGGTGATTCTCCAGATATCAGCTGCCAGAATTTCGTTATGCCCCTTATACTATAATATGTCGTCAAAATCACACAATTCCCATCCCAACAACCAATCAGTGAAAAATCTCTGAATTCTAACCCTACTGGTCCTTGCCATTGCTTAAGTTTTAGTCAAACTTCCACAATTATCGTGTAGCTCCACCAGCTTCGCCTTGATTTTGCACAAGCCTTCAAAACTTTGTCGTGAAAATGTTTCTCGCAATTTCTGTGCCGATTTTTCTTTAGTCTTTGAAAATTTAAATCCAAAATCAAAGCCAAAGTTACCACACATGTGCATTGATCCGTGTAGAAGCAGGATTCTTACGCATCCCTTATTATTGTTTGCAATGCCTAGATCGATCCATGCACGTTGAAGCCCACGGAAGGCTAGTGTTTCGCGTTGGCTCGCTTGTCAACATTTTGCTAAATAAAGTCGAAGTTGACGATTTTTCGCCTTGTGCAATCCCTTGTAGCATTAAAAGTATTTTAGTAGAAAGGATTTATATTTTGTAAATCGATTGAGAATTTCGAACCGTTGCTAGTAGACTAAGGGGAATTGACATTTAGAGGAATTTACAAACCCACTCAGAAATTTTTTTGGTAACAGTATTCAAAGCTTAGATGGGGTCTCAATTAACGATTCAAGTTGGGCGAGACATGTTGCGTAAGACCGGGCAGACTTCAAGCGATTTCATCATACGACAAAAAACTCCTCAGACAATCGACCGGACCCCTCCGCCGGACAGTCCGAATCTGCCAGAGTCGCGCCGGACCCAGTTGACCAATGAGAGAGGGGCAAATGGGCGGTCCGTCGCGGTGACATCACTGGCAGGCAAGTGGGAGGCTTCTCCGGCCCTGCTGCAAAGGTACGCCATTTCTCCGGCGCGACTCTGCCAGATTTGACGGACTCGCGCCGGAGAAATTTGCCCGGCGCGAGTCCGTCAGATTTGGAAGAGCCGCGCCGGAGAAAATCGGAGGGGTCCGGAGCAGAAATGGGAGGCCTCCGGAGCAGAAAATGGGAGGTATCTGGAGCAGAAAATGGGAGGTATCCGGAGCAGAAAATGGGAGGTATCCGGAGCAAAAAATGGGAGGTATCCGGAGCAGAAATGGGAGGGCCCCGGAGCAGGCTGCGTATCGATTTGGCGCGTAGCCACGCTGTGAGATTTTGAGACGTTCTTAAAGGCTAATTATTCGAACTATTCGGCGAACTATTCGTCATATTTTCCTGCATTTCTCGCAGGTTGCGTTGCAAGGTTGCGTTTAGACTTTTTCTTCTCAAAATTTTGATGTGTACTTTTACCTAATATCTATTTTCGTGCTAGATTTTTATTTTATTCAAAAGTGTCTGTGCTTTTCTACCGCGGATAGCGATTTCACTTACATGTCATTATCGAGCATTTGTTTCGGTTTTAGGGATGACTCCCCCGGGTCAGTGAAGTAGTCAGCCTTTGCCATCAAAGGAGTTGGGCCTGTTCAAAAAATGATAGTGAGTATTTTATGAGCTATTTCTAAGTAATAGCCTCACTAAATTTTTTTCCCATCCGGATCCTTTTTTTGACTTTGATTTTATGCTCGCATGATACGCATTACAGAAACCTTAGCAATAAAGGGGCTCATTCTTAACATGGGTAAGCAACAAGAAGCACAGGAATGTGTGAAAAGAGGTTTGAAGGTTAGGAGTCCTTTTTAGTTCCTTGTATAGTGTTTCACTCATCATTCCTATATTTAGGCTGATTTGAAATCTTATGTTTGCTGGCATGTATACGGGCTTGTTCAAAGGTCAGACAAAAACTACGACGAGGCGATCAAGCTATTCCCTTTTTTCTGTTTTATTGATTTTATGGATATCTGTCCGGTTTAGGCATACAAGCGAGCTTTAATCCTTGACAAAGACAACATGCAGATTTTGAGAGATCTCTCATTACTCCAGATACAAATGAGGGGCTGTGAAGGGCGCAAAGTTGGTTCTTCTTGCTCAGTCCAGGAGACTTTCATTGTAATCACTTAGGAATCTCGTCATCATTTGCTGCGACTTTGGCCAACGCAGAAAGTGTCTTGGTTGCTTACGTCACAGCATATCATGTCTTGAAAGATTACGAGAAGACACTCAATATACTAGTGGAATTCATTCAAAACAATGAGGTAGGATAGTGCCACTTTTGCTGTTGTTCATGATTCTCTGCTCAAATCTCAAAAGTTCTTGCCTTGTTTTTGTCTTTTTAATTGTGACAATGTTGAATTTTTTCAATCATTTTTATTTGCTTCCAAGATAGTAGTGCGAAGAGGTAAGCGCTAAAGTCATGCTGATTTCTATTAACAAATTACTGCCATGTATCTTCAACTGACTTCTAAAAGTCTTCTCAATCTGTGCATAGGGGCCTGCAGGATCGCGAGAGTCGGACGTGCGTACGGCCATTGCGCCGCGCACGTCGTATGTCACTGGGTCGTACTCGATTTAGGCTGGATAGGTGAGATTTTTTTGTTTTTCTTCTCATTTCACGCCTTCTTTTCTTTTCAGGCGGCGAACATATGTTGGTGCAAAGGAGTTTAAGATGTAGATTAAGGTAAGGTGCAGGATTATGCTCAATACGGGCCAATATTGTGGACTTTTCACCCCTGCTTTGAAGAATGTTGAGTTTTCTGTTCTGGCTGTCCGATTATGTTCGATTTTTCGTCCTGCCTGCCCGGTTACGAAACTCCGTTTTATTTGCAACGTCTGTTCTACCTCATCTTGCATCATGCGCGTCATCATAATCATTGTCATCATCATCATCATCATCATCACAAGCAATATGCAAGATAAGGTAGAATAGACGGTAGAAATAGAACAGTTTGCTGTAACAGGGCAGCCAGGACAGAAAATCCAACATCTCAACCAGCAGGCATGGAAGTTCTGCGATATTGAGTCCGTATTGAGCATAATCCTGCACCTCACCTTAATTCAGATCTTAAACTCCCCCGCACCAACGTGTGCTCACCGTCTGAAAAGAAAAGAAGGCGTGAAATGTAAAGAAAAACAAAAAAAACTTACCTATCTAGCCTTAATCGACTACGACCCAGCGATATCAGGCGTGCGCGGCGCAAAGGCCGTACGCGCGTCCGACTCTCGCGATCCTGCAGGCCCCTATATGAGAACATCAATACTTGTGCTTGAGTCGGTATACGGCTGATAACAACCTGAGATATACCAAGAAGGTAGAGCATCTTCAGTCAGCTGTCAAATTAATCTGCTGTGTTGTTCCATTTGTGGGATAGTATTTTTTACCACATTGTACGCGATTTCACTCTAGCCTCTCTGTTCCTCATTGTAGCCTTCTTCCTACGACTTCGAGTACTCGGAACTTGTCCTCTATCAGAACTGATTTTCTGTGGAGCGGGCCAGCTCGAAGAGGCAATGTCAAAACTTGAGAAGAACGCCACTGTCATAGTAGATAAAGTATCTTACATGGAAAGAAATGGTTTGTGGTAGTGCATTTATTTGCAAATTTAAAATAAATGTCTTATCTCTTCGTTCTTTCTTCTATCTTCTATCTACAAACGCTAGGGGTGAGAGGGAGGGGGTAAAGAACGGGGTTGAGGGTCGCGCTGAACTCTTACCCGGGGGGGGGGGGGTCGTATTCGGCTGATTTGGGTGGGGTTTAGACAAAATTGGGGTTTGGAGCTTAATTAGGGCTAATTACAGTATGCCGCGGCAGACTTGCGGAGCACAAAATCGGGGGGCTCCGGCGCACAAAATCGGGGGGCTCCGGCACACAAAATCGGGGGGCTCCGGAGCAGAAAATGGGAGGTATCCGGAGCAAAAAATGGGAGGTATCCGGAGCAGAAATGGGAGGGCTCCGCCGGACAAATGGGAGACCCACCGCTGGGGAAACGCCGCGACCCTGCCATTTCTCCGGCGGAGGGGTCCTATCCGTTGCCTGAGTCTGACACTGTCTTAAGCGTGGATTGCCACTCATCAGATAAACCAGCATTTTTGTGCGCGACCCTCTGCACAGGAACTAGGCGCAGTTTCTCGCATTTACTGAACTCCAGCAAACTTCGTGAGCTGGACTTTTAACACGTTTCGGACCGCGAAATCGCGCGCGGGGAAAAAGAGGGTACTTTCAGCCGTTAGCCATCAAAGGAACCTTAATTCGTATACTTTGTGCTACATCTGTAATCAGCTTGTCAGATAAGAATCATACCCAAAGTTCTGAGCGAATTCGAAGTGTTTGAATTTTGTCGCCTGAGAAGGACTTTTGTGCTTTCCTGAAAGATAGGAACAAGAACTCAGTTTCTAATAGTATCCAAAAGTATCTATGTTCTACACGATACACATCATTATTGAAACTACGGTTTTTCTCTTTGAATTCGAAGGAAAGGAAAGTTGCGACGTCGCACGCGCCGATCGCGTTGCCGCACTTCGTTGCAACTGATGTTCGATTTGTGCTCATATCTCCTAAGAGAATATTACAGTAATGTTACAGTCGTTAATGTTACAGTCGTTTTATAGATCCAAGTCACAAGCATATAGTTACAGGTAATATTGAACTATTCAGAGATAGTCCTATATATGATGTTCTTCTCAAAGGTATCAAGTTTCGTTTTCCATCCCAACATTCATTTATTCAGATTAGAAAATTTTGGATGAATTTGTTCGAAACAATTGCCGTTAAACATAAAAATAGACACTCTCTTTCCTCCAGTATCTCAAACATTTTATACAGCACGTTATGTAAACATTTCTTTAGTAATAATAACAGACTTATATACTACAATCGTAAACCAAATAATTACAAACTTCCTATCCATGAAATTAAAAAATTCCAAAAATTCTTCATATTCTGCCCATTAGATAAGGCCAGCTCAAATTACGGTATAATTTGTAAGCGTTTTTACTTAACCGTCCTCATGCGAGAAATGGGAATAGAAGATACCAGCAATTTTCGGTCAGCCATTTACAACTATATTCCTGATACCGACCTTAACAATATAATAACTAAACATTTGAATGTTGTACGGAATTTGAATTTGAAACCTATGAACAATCCTACTGTTCCTATTATTCATGGGTTACCTAAACTGCATAAAACACCAGTTAAATTTAGGTTTATAACAGGAGCCTCAAATAGTAGTATAAAACCCTTATCTGAAGAAATTATGCATATATTTACATTTTTTAAAAAACATTTTAGGAACTACGTAAAAATAGTTCGACTTCATAAGAATAGTCTTGAAACATATTGGTCTATCAATGATATAAACATTTCCCACCAATTGCAAACTATAACTGATCAAAAGCTACAGCTTTTCTCAGCAGATTTTACAAACATGTTTACTAATATTCCCCATTCTGTCATTCTACACAATCTTACTGAAGTAAATTTGCTTCAAAAATAGTAATAGTAGATACATAACATGCAGCGACAGAACTGTTTACTATTCCAATACTGCTACTGATAAAACTGGACAAAGAAGCTATAAAATAGAAGATATCATTTATCTCCTAGAATATTTGCTTGATAATAGTTATAGCAAAATAGGACAAAACATTTTCAAACAAAAGATAGGCGTGCCACAAGGTGGCAATGCTAGCCCTGTCTTGGCAGATTTAACACTCTCCTACCTAGAATACGTATACGGCTCTAACCATCCTGGCACTGACATTTTGTTCAAACCTTTCAGATATATGGATGACCTACTGATTATTCATAACCAAAAGGAAAACCGCATTCTGAAATTACTAGATAAAACATATAATAATATTTTAGAGCTGGAAAGCACACACTTAAACAGTAGTAATTGTAACTTTCTTGACATGAAAATTATGATCAAAAATAACAGAATATACACAGAACAGTATAACAAAACTGATTACTTTGATTTTGCTTAAATAAATATACTCATGGAAACTCTAATGTTAGTATTAAAATTAAAATAGCTATTATATACGGCGAGATCCTAAGAATCTACAGAACTTGCACAAGTTTCAATAGCTTTGAACAAAGATTATTGCTTCTGATGAATAAACTTTATGCACTTGATTATAGTGCTGATATTATTGAAAATCCATTAAAATGTCTCACTTTCAATAAATGTATTTTCCATAAGTATCCGGAACTTCATTCATTTAAAAACTCTAAACATTTTGTAAAGTGCATAATTCAAAAACTTGATTTTTATGTCTCAGATCGTGGATCATAATTATTTTGCTCTACCCGAATGGTATATAAACCTTGAGGTATAAATACAGCAACACCCAAGGCCAAACCATTAGTCTTCCATTCAAGCCACTCTTCCCTACTGAAGAGCCTCGGGAGTGGTCTACTCTTCTTGATACCTGTATAGGGGTAGAGGCGAAACAGGCCATACTGTATATTATCAATGCTAACATTCTTCTATTGACAGCACGACTCTACACAGACACTTGAAATGAAGAAGCTTAGGCCTTTGACTTGATAACATTGGACTAAAAGAAAACTTCCTGTAAACGTTGAAAAGATCCTTCAAAAGCGCGTGCTGCACCATGTGCAGCACCGGTCCGAAACGTGTTAAAACAATCGTAGTTTGTGAGGTGATTACGTAAGAAAATTGTTTTAGAATTTGGGGAAATTTCACCAAAACACTTTGCAACGTAAAAAAAGACCTTAAAAACGCAATATCTCTTACTTTGACATTTTTGAATTATCACCTACTATAATAACAACTTGTTTTGTGGTTTTTAATATGAAAAAGAATTTGATAAATACTAATTAGGAACGCAAGAAATTCAATTCCTTTTTGTTCTTTTTCTACACTATCCGGTTTTCGGGGCTTACAAGGGAACGATATTCGGTGTCCGTGGCCTTTTGAGATGAGATGTATATTATCACACTCGGCTTGGAACGCTGATTCCAAATCTTGCTTCCGTTTCTGCTAATCGCTTCAAAGATGTTATCATGGATCGCGCGGAGATTGGCTGCCCAGTGAAATTTTGTCGAAGCGCCGTATATCTTCGGTGCGTTGTGGTGTAATGGTTAGTGCGATAGCCTCATGAGCTGATGCAGGTTAGGTTCGATTCCTTTTGTGTTTTTTGATTTTGCGTCGCCTCAATTAAACTTCTTTCGCATCCTCAAGCTAAGTAAACGCCCTTACTCTTGAAAAAAGTGGAATTTTGGAAAAAATGACTACTGTTTGCGCTAAAATGTATTCAATGGTCATAATTCGAGTAAACTTTCTCGAACAAGTTTAATTGAGGCAATGCAAAAGTAAAAACACAAAGGATTTGTACCTACACCTGCATCAACTTATGAGATCGCACTAACCATTAGAACAGAACGTGGTCGCGGTAGAGGCCGTTCCAATGACCATATTTTCGCTTAAGCGGCCAAACTTGGACGAATTCCTCCGTAACTTCTTTCAGAGAAACGATTAGCAGAAACGGAAGTCAGATTCGGAATCAGCGTTCGAAAACGAGTGTAATGGTATAAATCTCGTCTCAAAAAGCTACGGACATTGAGTATCGTTTCCTTGTTAGAACTATACCGGTAGTGCGGCTTCCTTGGTGCCCCTCGTCAGTAGTTCCCAAGGAAGCTTCAAAATTATCAAATGAAAATGTAAGATAAGATCTAAAACAGAAAATGGCGTTTAAATGTTGTATACTGTTTTAATCACATTCATTCCGATATAGCCATGGCCCAATGGCGGTCCCAGGGTTTCGGGACCGGGGGGGGGGGCAAAGAATTTTTTTCAAATGAAGGTGCGTAGCGTTAGCCACGCACTCCAAAAAAATTCTTGGGGGTGCTTCTCAAAATTTTTGCGGGTCCATAGCCTCCAAAATCTGTCACTTGCATATTTTTATAACCTATGTAAGTAAACTTCAAAAATTGCCCATTCTTGCCGCCCCCCCCCCCTCAATTCGCCACTGCCATGACCTTAAAGGTACCGTCCACCCTAAGTTGTGGGTGTTGAGGTTTTGGCAGCATAAAATAGTAGGATTCTTATCAATTTAATGCCCAAGTCGCGGCGCAAAACGCCGCTTCGGAAGCGAGAAAATCGCTTTGGAATAGCGAAGATGCACGAGGACTCCCATCCATGCCCGCCCAATTGTGCGCGCCCATCCAATCACCGTTCCGGAATGCCGGTCTCGGGGTTTTCAACCATTCTCGACTTCATATTTGGAAGCGGTACATGAGAAGGCCTTGAAACGACAAAATGTGGGTGTTCTTCAGGTGAAGTTTGTGTTCTTTTATGTCACCCAAAGTGAAGGTCACCAAAGCGCATGTCTTTCTATACCGAGGGTACGCCTACTAGATTCGGTTGACTAAAAAATAATTTCGTTTTGCATGAAAATCTTCATAAAAACTTCCCTAGTTGCTATTTATCTATGTTATTTTGTGCGTGAGTAGCTCAAAGCTGCTTCTATCACATATCAATTATCCACAATTTTAAATTATCAGTAAAAAATGGTTATGCCCCGTCCAAAAGCTCAATTCTTTTAAAGCTCGATGGAAAACTGTCTAAAAATAAGATTTTTGCTGCTAAGCCAAAGAGGTTTGAAGGTTTGTATCACTCTTGACGACAAGAAGTCATACTCTTGGCAAAAAAGTGAAAATTAATCATTCCTTAAAACATGTCTCTGTTTGAACAATGATTGTACAACACTACTGGCAGCATTTAGAAATGAAACGAATCTTAAAGTTTCTTTTAACGCTCCACTGTTCATCTGCACCGTCTCTATGTCTCGACCGCTTCCATAAAAGGAACAGCAATCTTACAAGGAGAGGATACCTAGTCGAAAGCACCAATCGAGATAAGACATTTATCTTCGTAAAGCGCTTGAAACGCTGATTCTAAATCTGTGGTTTCTAGCTGTGGAGCGATTTGTAGGAGGAGTTATGAGGAGTGTTTTCCTCCGGGGTTGAGGCGCCCTCCAGCAGGTCTTTCCTTATTCATGAGCACTGTAGAGGAGTATCAAGCGAGTGTTTAGCTTGATAAGTAGAGTGTCAATGCTTTGATCTCCTTCATGCAACTTTATCGCAATTTTTGCAAAATTGAGCTTCTAAATGGCTTTGGAGCCCCTAAAGCCTAAACTTTTTAATGATATTGATGCTAATCGAAGGTAGAAGTCAAAAAAACCAAAGTAATATAAGTATTATAATCCTTATTGTAATCTTCATGCAAATAACTTACCACTAGGCCAGTTGCCACCAGTTAGTACTCCTCTACAGTGCTCATAGATAAGGGAGACCTGCTGGAGAGCGCCTCAACCCCAAAGGGAAACACCCCTCATGACTCCTTTTACAAAACCTCTCCACAGCTAGAAACCACAGATTAGGAATCAGCTTTTCAAGCGCTTTGAGATGCTATATGTCTCATCTGAATTGATGCTTTCGACTAATTATCCTTTCCTTGTTAGCTTATACGGATGAATTTTTTCCATACCGTTTGCTGTTACATTGAAGCATACAACAACTTTTGATATAAATGCTACGTAAACCATTTGCGAAGTATTATATTAGACACCGGTACCCTATTGTTTGTGCTGCTTTTGCATTAACTATTTGAAATCAAATGATTCTTTGACATTTTTTCCATGGAGCCACTTCAGTCAGTTATTCCACCTCTAAAAGTCAGTTAGTAATTAAAATCAGTCAACTCATAATAAACTGGCGTTTCATAAGTCCTTATCGGCAACCAACGTGATTAAGCTAACTAAACAACTGTCTCAGGAAGGCCAGTAGGAATTAAGTGGTCGCAGATGCTCCAAAAAGGTTGCGTTTTGCAAGAAATATATTTTGACTATTCATTCAACGAACTGCTATGCAGCATGCATGAACAGAGACTGAAGTTGTCAAGCAATAGTAAGCAACAGTAATCTCCAAAGGTGACAGATGAGGAAAGGTATTTGGAGCTTTCTTACAAGGTAAAGTAGACAGCCAATGAGATGCTAAAATATGTCGGCTCGCCTGCATGGAACGAGAAACAAGCAATTTTCCTTGTTACAACCACTACATACCAAGTTTTAAAAGCATTCAAATGCTATCTCAGACAATTCACGGGAGTTTCCCGAAAACAAGCCATTTTGGCAAACTTCCCGAAGAACTCATTTAACACAGAGGTGAATGGAAGCGCAAAAATGGGAGTTTTCCGAAAACTTTGACGTCAGGGCAACGCAGTTAGGAACTTCCCGAGGATTTTCCCGGGAAGTATCTATAAATGCGAAACTTTCCGAAAGCTTTCAAGAAAAGGGAATTTACCGAGAGCTTCGCGGTATTTCGTAATAGCATTACGTCATTCTAATGACTGAAGTGTCGTAAAAAGTCACAGAGTCTTCATCAAACTTATGTAATGGTCAGTGCAATATCTGATTTAGCGCAAGTGGGGTATTTGTAGTGTTTCTTTTCTATCGTCCTCTCGTTTTATTCTGTAAATTGACTGACTTCTCTTCTTTTCATGTGGCATTATTCAAATGTATTTGCATCACTTGTCGCTAAGGGTTAAGTGACCTCTTGCTTGTTATTAGGTTGTAAAGAAAGTTCCCGGGCACTTTTGGAAATTTCATTTTCAACCGCCCTTTTTCGGCGATCGGTCGGACTTGGCACCAAGTTTTTTATACTGTTCAGTGGAGGGAAGCCTGAAGCTTTCAATACCGCTTCTGATTTCTATCGAAGCCAAGACGTGTTTGACCTGCACATCAGAAAAGGAAATCTTTCCAATCATGAAAATTTCGCAATTTTTCGTTTTGCGCCCATTTTTCTGTGCAGTTCAAAGAATTTCGTCCAAGTTATGAGTGATCTGATTGAGAAACCTGTAACTTCTTACCCGCAGCTGCACTCGAGTTTTGCGATTTGTGCTCAGAGATTACAAGCTGTCGAACTTGCCTTTGACTGCAACTCTTTTCACAGCTGGCCTCGCTTCTGCAGGGATCGCCACGCCTGGACGATGGGTTCAAAAGATATGTGAGACATTACCCCAACAATATTCGCCGCAATCAAAGGTTTGATCCTTTCTGTGCAGAACTAGAAGACTCCGAAGCCACTTATTCGAAAAATGGTGCAATTTTAGGGGCAAAAAATGGTCGATTTTTCAAACTTTCTGGGGAAAATTTTTGTGCAGGTGGTCCTTCAAAAACATGAATGGTTCCCATAACAGCCCCAGCAGAACTCTATATAACTACAGCATCTGGACTCTCCAGCTTTCATCGTGCCTGAGATAATCCTGCACAAATAGGCCACTTTTCGCGACGACCTTTTTCCCTTCTGCGCATGCTGGTGGACCGCACTGAGGTGCTGAGAAGCCAGCAAGACAAATATATGTTGTGGACAGAATTGTCTTTGCAATGAAGTTTGCAGCTTCAAAAAAGAATCAATCTGCTTGAAGTTATAGCGATTTGAAAAAAATCTTCGCAAGTGCCCGGAAACTTTCTTTACAACCTAATACTTTGCACATCATAATCCGTCCTCTGTCGCAGTGCGAGGTGTGAAGCTATGACGCAGAGCCAAAACAAGCAAACAGATGATCCTGCTATCGAATTACCTTAATATATGTGCGACCATCTATTGACAGCTCTTTGCGAGTGCGGCTGTTATGATCCACCATGTAAAGGAAATGACTCCTTTTGACTTTACATTTACTCATGACTTTTACGTATTTCGAAATCCTTCTAAATGTGACTTTGTGCTGTTTTGTATATAATGAGGAAAACATGAATTTAGGTAAGTTTTTTTCGCGTCTGATTCTCCTTGCTTTCTTTCTGTATTTCGTAACAGTGCACTTGCGCTATTTCTAGTCTGCTATTGCCAATATTGCTAGTCTGTCAATTTGTTATAGATAGTGAAAACTTAGCAAATCAAATTGTGTAAATAGGAGTGTTATCTTAGGTAGTATTTAGGCTCTGGTTCCTAGTTGAGTGCTTGTAATTTCGATCTTTTCTCCTCCTACTAGTGAAGCAGTTATGTGAAGGTGCTATATGTGCGTGCGCTTCGGGACCGCACCGCGGTTTCCCGCGATTTGATGATTTTTAAACTGTGCTTACGATTCTTTGTATATTAGATTTCTTCCTTCCTCTTTTCTAGCGTGTTTTCAGAGCAAGGGCATTAACCGAATATAGTCGCGACAGACAAATAGTTCTAGGCTTCTACTTTGAGGGCACAAGTCGACTTTCAGGTGAGCGTGATTGCCCTTTATTTGACACTAGTTATGCTTCAACTCACTTCTATGACAATGTTTCTTTCTCTTCTTTGATTTAGCACTGCTTTTCTTACTGAAGCTGTAACCAGAAAACTTTCTCTTTTTCCAATGTTACCTAACATCAATCGTGGACTACAGCGAAATTTGTGCTTGTGGACCAGATCCCTCAGATATATGGAATTTTGCACATCGCACATCTAATGTATCGCGCAAGCCGGATTTACAAGATCTGTCTTAGTCTATAGTTATCACACTCAACAGCACGAAACTAGTCATGTAAGAAGTTCTCATTCAAATCATTTTTTTTTTAGATTTTATATTGGATGCGCTTAGCCTCGGCAACGAGGATTCGGAGGGATACAGATTGAATGCGATAAGAAGCTTGCGCACTAGGTGCGTTGGTGTTTCGTAAGCAGTCTTTACCTACTCAAATGATTTAGTTTCTGGATCTCCTTGGGTACATCCGATGAAGAACGCGAGAAAAAAAAATTCAACTATCTGCTGGAGCAAAAAACTTTCTACTGCGGCCAAATCAGGACCTGTATCGCAGAAGCACTGTAAATTTTCCAGAATCGTCTTTTACCTCTAAATTCAGTTTTACAGCAAGGATGTCCGTCATTATCGCCTCAACCAAAGAAAACTTGTGCCTAAAGGTTCAAACTTAGTCTCAGTTGTTTTTATACTAAAAATTTGTTTTCCAGAAATACAAGGCTACGCAGGTCGGATTTGTAGAGAGGACAAGGCAAGTATGACGAAGTCAGAATGGAAGTGCTACACAGTAGTGGAATTTGATCCTGTCGCTGTCCTATTTGATACTGATGTTTAATTTCTGATCCATCATAAGTCTTCTTATGTAACATCGTGCCTTTGCCCCATTAGTTAAGCATTTTTTCTCATTAATCACTGCTTAACTACTTACTTCCCGCTTATCTCTATATTCAGTACATGCTTAGTTCATATCTCACTGTCAATATGATACTCCTTACGCATTACTCGGGCACTATTGTAATCTTTTAAGAACTTGAAGAAATCCTCCCACTCGCATCCGTCGATATGTTATATCCACTGCTATAACAATAAATGATGGAGCATATCTGTTTTTGCGTATAACTACTACTAGTGCTCCACCCTTACTACTACACTACTTTGAGTAGCTGTACTAAGGGTGCGGCTTTATGAAGTAGCAGGATTCATCATCAAGGTTCGGTACAGCTACGCAGAGCCAATCTGAAGCCCTCAAGAAGTTCTGTAGATATGTTCTCGGGAGATTTCCCACTTCTTGCGAACTTTCCGAGGACTTTTTTGCATACTTCCAGAGCGCTTCACAGGAACTTCCGCAGGTGACCCGAGGAAAGTTCCCTCACAGACCTCGGGAAGTTCCCATGGATTGTCTGAGATAGTAATTTTACTCAAATCAGGACCTTCATATATCCATCAGGTACTATACGCACTCATGCGCGCAAGCACGTTGTACCGAAATAAAGATAAATTACGTCTTTAAGTGGTTAGAGGGTCCACTAAGTAGGCCTCTGCCCAATTCCGACCTAGGCCCATCTCCCTTAAAAAATGTATCTTACAAGGAAAGGATACCTGTCGAAGGGGCGTTTCTACATGAAATGTTTACGGTCATATAGTGCATGGAACGTTCCAAATCTTTTTTCGTCATCTGCAAGGCGCTCTTGTTAGGGGATTTTTGAGAATTTTTTGAGGCAAGAATTTAAGGATTTTGCAAAACAAAAGCAGGTATGAAGCCTTTCTGAATTTTGAATAACTAGCATAGATTTATTAAGCTGAAAGTATAGATTGCATAAAGCGCTTTTAAAGTAATTGTGACCTCATTTGAGCTCACAAACTACTCTTCTGAATGTTGTTTTTGTAGCCGCGCGTTTAAATCTTTGCTCAAAAAAATTCCCATAACTTCCCTCCCAGAAGCGCTTTGCAGATATCGAAAGCAATTTTGGAATCAGCGTTCCATGCTCTATAAGATATTACAGGGTATCCCAAAAGTCCTTGAGCCTAGCTTTTCAACATAGTAACTTTGTTAGTATTTCTCGCTTTTCAGCCAAATTTTGCCTTTGAGTTCTTCGTTTAGTTGCCAATATTCTTCAAGAAATCATTCCGTTTACATTGTACATTCTCGAGATATACTTCTTGAAGCGAACAATACTACATTCGCGAAGACAACCCGAAGGAAACGCACCCCCTATTCAAATATTTACAGCTCTTTTGGCTTTGGAGCTCTTGTGGACTTTTAAACTGCATATTGTAGAGCTAGCTTCACTCTACATTTACAGTGTAAAATCAATCAATAGCCTTCGTTCATTAGAGTAGGATTAGGATACAAACACTGAAGTTGCGCCGTGTCAATGAGAAGGAAAAGTTCTCGGAAACAAAAACCTGGAAAAGCTGGAAAGTCCAGCACCGAATCAGCTTCACTCACTAATTCTAGCTGTAAGCCCCGCATTTCCTACTGAAATACCATTTTAAAGTCACTCCGCTACACCATAATTGCTGTTTTCTTGGTGTTCTCAAACACTTGAATGCTACATTTTGACACTTTTGTCAAATCTCACAGGCTTCTCAGATTTACGTGCCTTCAATAGCCGGGTCAAGAGACCTTTGACTTTTCTTTGTGATCAGTAATGGAAAACAAGGTTTGCTCTATTTCATGCAAAATTTTGGACAGTCTGGATTGCTTGCTTCAGAAGATGTGAGACAATCTCAATGTCAACTACCTGGCTGCCTTGGTGCATGCATTCCGCAAGGGTCTGAGAGCCTGTGTAAGGGCCAAAGGAGGGTTTTCAAAAATCTGAGTGTATCATGTTATTTTGTAGGCTCTTCGCAAATTTCCTGCTGAATTTCATGCTTCTATGTTGCTTCGCACTTTCAGCGGAGAAAATACTAGGCTCAAAGACTTTTGGGACACCCTGTACATACAATACCGCTCATAATTCGTCAAAAAAGTCGCCGGACTGCGGCGCACTCCGCCACACTCCGGCACACTGCGGCGGAGTGTGGCGCACTCTGCCACACTCCGCCGCAGTGTGCCGGAGTGTGGCAGAGTGCGCCGGAGTGCGGCAGAGTGCGCCACACTCCGCCGCAGTGCGCCGGAATGATCTTCAATTTAGCCATATCTCGCTTCAGAATGGACGAATTCTGAATCCGAGGACATTGTTCGATTTAGCTCGGCGAGACGCATCATATTATATATGAAGCTGAACGTCTGTTTGTCTGTTTCTCTGTACGTATGTTCCAAATAGAAAAATCAATTTCTAAACCGATCCGACCAAACTTGGCACACATACACTTCGGGCCCCCGCGGGTGTCATATGCTACTTTTCGTCATCGATCGATATCGATTTTATCGATTTTTATCGATTTTTTTGCAGGGTCCACCTACGGGGCCGGGAGTTGGCACAGGGGGTAAGTGAGCATTGGGATTCCGAATACAATATTAGTTTGGGTAAGTGAGCATTGGGATTCCGAATACAATATTAGTTTTCAGAATTATCGATTATTATTTTGGTTGAATTCGGTGTGCTGATAACAGTATTACCATTGATCTGTCGCTGATGACACATAGACAGTATACTACAGGAGTATGGTAAAAGCCACAGATCAATGGTAATACTGTTATCAGCACACTGAATTCAACCAAAATAATAATCGATAATTCTGGAAACTAATATTGTATTCGGAATCCCCATGCTCACTTACCCCCTGTGCCAACTCGCGGCTCGTAGGTGGACTCTGCAAAAAATCGATAAAAATCGATAAAATCGATATCGATCGATGAGAAAAGTAGCCTATGACACCCGCCGGGGCCCGAAGTGTATGTGTGCCAAGTTTGGTCCGGATCGGTTCAGAAATGGATTTTTCTATTCGGAACATACGTACAGAGAAACAGACAAACAGACATTCAGCTTCATATATAAGATGATGCGTCTCGCCGAGCTGAATCGAAAGGTGTCCTCGGATTCAGAATTCGTCCATTCTGAAGCGAGATATGGCTAAATTGACGATCATTCCGGCGCACTGCGGCGGAGTGTGGCGCACTCTGCCGCACTCCAGTGCACTCTGCCACACTCCGGCACACTGCGGCGGAGTGTGGCAAAGTGCGCCACACTCCGCCGCAGTGTGCCGGAGTGTGGCGGAGTGCGCCGCAGTCCGGCGACTTTTTTGACAAATTATGAGCGGTATTGTATTAGGTCATTCCGAAAGTAATTTCGCTTTTTTAACGGGCGCTACATTTGGTGGAACAAAGATCTCTAAGAGTTCTTGGTAACGTCCCGTGCAGCATTTCATCCCCTTTCTAACGGTTATGAAATTTTTGCAACACATCAATGAGCTTTCAGAAACGACCTGTGCTTTTAAGATGATCAAGTTTCACACTTTTTTGAACTTTTATGTAAACTCTCCAAAAAAATCGAAGCAACGTGCTCATAGGACAAACCCTACAGAATATAAAACAACTTTTTTCCTTTCCTAGCTTGTCATACATTTTTAACAGAATTTTAACTAATGCTACATATTTCCATACTTGGACAGCTAATTTCTCGTAGAACATCAAAGGAAGAGCAGCTCGGACATTAATCGATGCAGCATTTTCTCCTTTTTCCAATGGGTGTTTTTTTTTTGTTTCCGATTTGTTTAGTCTTCGGGGATAAAATCATCACAATTCATTTTTTCAAGGAGCCTAGGCTGTGTACGAAAAACTGGAAATTTGATATTTCGAATCCGTAAACTTTCACTTGCTTTGCAAAATTAGTGGTAATTCATAGCACATCTTGGCAGTCTTAAATTTCGAATAATTATAATGTTTGATGCGATTGTGGCTGATGTAGGCCTGCCAAAATCTGACGGCTTCGTTAAAATTCTTTTGAAAACTTACGGCGAATATGAAAAAGAGAAAAAGTTATACTGTATTCTATGAGGTTTGCTCTATCGAATCGTCACTCACTTGAACTCCCTCTGAAGATTGACATGAAAGTTTTAAAAAATGGTGAAATTTCTCAAAAAACATAGGTCGCAGATTTTGGTTATTTTCTGAAAGCTCATTGATTGCGCTGCAAAGTTTTCAATAATGTTAGATAGAGGATGAAATGCTGCATCGAAAACTACCAAGATTTCTTAGAAATCTTCGTTACATCAAATGTGGCGCCCGTTTGGAAAAAGCGACAACTTAACAAACGTGCACTATTCCAATGTCGGTAAAAGGTACTGCGAACTTTCAAGTGAAAAAAGGTTGATAAGACAGTGGCGGTCACGAAGATATGGCGCCGATCTTGTTTGCAGAAATTAAGATACTGCTCAGCTTTTGGGTCTCAGGACTCTTCGATTTGAAAAATAATTAAAAAGTGGTTTTTTAGCATTTAGCTAGTACTATAATTTTCACATTGACAACGTTAACTCTACAATTCTAGGTTACTGCTGAGCATGACGTGCTGCAACATGCCACAGGCCATCCTTTTTTACTCTTAACAATGTGGGACGCTCATTAAACTTAAGTTCCGTTGCGTACAAATATGAAGCTTGGCATGTGCAAGCTAGTCCTCTAGCAA